GGCCAGCCGCTTTTCAGTTTTGCCGCCACCCATGACAGGCACAATAGTTCCTAATGCTTTTCCATGTTGCTTGTTATGTTCATTGTTTGGTTCCGTGAACTGGCCTAGTTGCCTTGGTGGTGCAGTTTCGTCTCTCCACCCCCTCCACAACGGTCGGGGGGCGCACTAGCGCGCGGGTAAGGGGAGCAATCCTCTTGCCCCTAACCCTGGCGAAAGAAAAGAAAGAGTTTTGCACAGTGCTGAAGCAGAGAGAGGTCCAGTTGTGCAGTTGCATGTATGTGGGGGGCAGTCCAGTTTCAGCACAGCGGTGGCCAAGCAGTAATACACTGCGAGAAGGAGGCCAGTGCAGGCCACAGCCTTAGAGATGAGGCCGGGGGTTCCATAGCATGTAATGAGGGGGTTTGCAGAAGCCTCATCTCAAGGGGTAGGAACGGACCGACCCAGAGACTCCAGTGCGCGTGCGCGCGCAGGGGGGGCAGTGACCTGCCTTCCTTTGGCTGTGCAGAAGAAGAGAGAGAGAGAGAGAGAGAAACATTGTCTCTTGATGCCCCGGTCATTGGGACCTCAGAGACCGGCCACTCATTAACACAACGGGTGGTCGGGCGGGCCAAAGGCCTGGGGGTCCCCAGCGGACCCCTAAGCCCGGCAGAAAGAAAAGAAAAAAGAGAGCGAGGTGCATCGTCATGTCACTCGAGCTTGAGTCCAGTGTTTTTTCCTTTGTGTCGTGACCACTGCTATGCCGGAGCCTTAGGGGACACTCGTGCGACCAAAGCCTTTTCTGCAGTAACCTGTCGTCCTTCGTCCGATACATGCAGGTACCTGTCCTGTGCTACTCCTTGTTTTGCTCGCTGTGTTAGCTTGTAACAAAGGGGACGACAGGACCACACTGCCTACTTTAGCGCCAGGGGGACATGGATCGTGTGTGGTGTCATTGATCTCCCCTTTGTAGCTTTTCTAAACGCCCCCAGTCACGCCATGCATAGGTGTCCCAAAGATCTCACTCGTTTCGCACTGTCGGGGAACAGGCACAAGGGGTCACAAGCGGTTTATGTTCTAATACCTGGTGTGTACTGCAGCGCCTTGTAGGTCTGCGTAGCTGTAAACGTGGGCCTGGAACCCCCGCCTTTCTCGGAACTGTGGGGACACAACTGGGAGTGGCAAACAGTTGGCTCCTTTAGACATCACAGTGTGCTGTTCAGATATCACAGTGGCTCCTAGACATCATAGCAGCTCTGCAGGTCTAGATATCATAGTTAAATATGCCAAAGCCGGAACTCGAGACCCCGCAACTTTTCACTTTTCACGTCCCCTCAAAGCCCCATAACATATGAGGGGCCACTAGGCCGGGGGACCTAAACAGTCCCCCGTGCCCAATGAAAGAAAGAAAGAGGTGCTGGGTGTGTTGGGGGGTACGAGTCGGCTTCACTGCACAAGCATGGGGGCTCTGCAGTTTCCCACAGTACTAAGCCCCCGACGGTTGCCATAGGGGCGCGGCGATGAGGCCGGGAAGCGGGCTAGGGGTGTTAGTGTACGGGTCGGGGGCTTATTAGTGGAAACCGAGGGCCAACTGCGTTCTCTAGTGCATCAGTCAGTGGGACCCCAATGCCATCCACTCACTAATACAGGGGGTGGGTGGGCGGGCCAATGGCCTGAGGGTCGAGTGATCGACCCCTACGCACTGCAGAAAGAAAGAAAGAGGTGCCGGGGGCCTCACCAGCTCCCTTGACCCCGGAGTGAATTGAAGTAAGTTAGAGCGAGAGAGACGTGGAGAGGGAGAGACAGAGCTGGAGGAAGCAAGGAAGCAAAGAAGGAAGGCAGGAAGGACGGACGGACGGGGGAACATTTGCCTTATCTTGAACAGGAATGTAAGAACAGCACTCAAGCAACTTACTCTTGTCGCGATTCCCTGTGCAGCCACCCTGGGCAACAGCACTCGACTCGGATCCCTCCTTCTCCTTCATTCGTCGGCATGGCGCGTGGCTCCTGGATGCTCTCTTCTTGCAGTTCCGGGCCCTTGGCACGAAGTGAACAAAAAAGATCAGGTGGCCAACTTGCTCCAACAGTGGAAAGGTGGGGCGCGCGGCCCTCCAGGCAAAAGCGAGGAGGCAGGGAGGGAAAGGAGCCGATCAATAATTCTTGCTTGAATATTTTCGACAGAGGCCACGCTGTTGGCAGCGATGCTGCGCGTGGACCCCGCGCAACGAAGCACATCAGACGAGGCGCCGGCTTTTGTCGAGGATCCTTTTACCCGTCTTTCGTGCCTGAGCCTTTCGCGCCAGTGTTTGCGGAACCCATGGCTGGAAGCAGTGACGCGGAATCGTTCCAAGACAGCCTGAGATCTGCTGCTGGCCTCAGATCAGAAGTGGCGGAATATGTGAGCCTGCTAAGCAATTCTGAGCTGCTCGGTTCCTAGGTGGTTCTACCTTATGCAGCCATGGCCGCAGCTGGTGCTTCCAATCCAGGGCCTCCAGGGGCAACTCCTGTGGTGGCACGAATCTTCCTAGGTATAGTGCGACTTGTACAGACAGAATTATCGGAGTGCGCTCCAGCAAAGCCGAAGCATTTGACTGTGGATCCTGCCTGGCACTACTACTTTCCACCGTGCAGCCGTTTATTTAACATTTTACATACGTATCCTTGCATCTCGATCCTCAGCAACGGTCACTACGGTCACCAGGCGATATCCACAGGCCAGTAAGGCTTCCGGTCTTGTTGTTCGATCGTTTGAGGAAGAGTGCGAAACCCGGTTGCGATTTGAAGATGCATGTGTACAGCGAAGAAGCGTGATGTGAACTGGTATAGTGTGATCTCGAAAAGTGTCACTGCACTCGAGAGCTTGCGTTTGGCGGTTGTAATTCGGGGAACGGTTCTGGCATCCTTCCTGGCTTGCTCGCAACACCCGGCTCTCAGGAGTTGTTTGTGAACCACTGATGCTGTGCTTCGAACGGTAAATACAGCGAAACACTACGAACTTCAGGTTTGAACTCTGCAGTCTGAAGTCCAGCCAGCTTCACTCCTCTTTCACCTTCACTCTGGCGGACTTGGGAACATGTGGAGGTGTTCCAACCTTCCTCAAGTCCGCCCCTGCAGACGCTCCATGTCAGGCCCTGCATCATTGCAGTATGGGTGCTGGCCTGCAAGCATGTTGAGGCTTGGCATTCAGAGCTCTCAAGGCCACCCAAACCCGAGCATTTCGAAGGCAGTGCGACCTGAGAGAGACTTCGTCAAGGGGCGTCGCGACGATGGCCAGCGCCCCGAGAACCATGGCTTGTGGCCTGCTCCACACTTACAGCCTAGGCCCCATAGTCATCGACAAGGCTGAATGTGTCAGCAAAGAGGAGTCTGTGCAGTCAGCAATTCGCAGGCTGAGTTGCAGAGGATCAGCGATGCTTTGAAGGCTCTTGTAATTTTGTTATATGATTTCTTGTGATTCTTGCAGTGAGAATGATCCTGCCCAGAACGGGGACTTGGAGACTGCAGCTGCTTCCAAGATCCAGATAGGCAGTGGCACACAGGCGCAGGGAAACTTGCCCAAGTGGACAGCAAGCCCAAATATTGAGCCCTAGATCCGCAAAGACCTTACGACCTGTTTCGGCTTCTCTCCCTTGAGACCGGGGAGTCTTGCGCGCAAACTTGAAGTGTGATTGGGTAGAGAGTGGGTCATGATCAGGCCGCAGATGGGGAAAAGCAGATCTCCGATAGTGGAGACAAAGAGGCAGAGAACGCGGAGTCTCTGGCTCGGGATCCGACCGGGGACACTTCGAAGACTGAGAGCCCTGCGAAAGACAGCCCAGCCGCTCAGCTCAAGATGATACCCGAAGCTCAGGTCTCGGGTCCATACGATGCTGTGGTATCGTATCGTCTCATGTGATTGCACTGTGATCGCAGCAAAGGCCCAGGCCCCTGGGAAGCCAGAGGACCCATCGCATGAAAGGCCCTGGCTTCCTCAAGCAAGTTGCCATGTTAGGACAAAGCGAAGGAATCCAGCAAGGAAAGCAAGGAACATCAGGTGCATCCAATCAGAATGCCAGACATTCACAAACCTGTAACCTTAGCCCTGACACAGGCTCAGTTGCATGTCTCCTTCGAGGCGGGAGATCATCTTGATTCGCCACGACTGTAGAAGTACGGCTCCTCAGGAGCTTTCCAAGTCTCACAACGACATGGATCGCGTCATGAAGCAGTACAAGGAGGTTGCAGACAAGGCAAGCCACTGAGCGCACAAGTCCTTCGGATCTCCATAGCTTTGGCCTCAGGGAGAGCAACGAGCCGCCAAGTTTGTCGATGTGATGGGTCCAACGCCTACGGAGTCTACGGAGAGCTTAGGCTTAGATCTTTCCTCCCGTCTTCAGAGGCACTTACCAGACATCGCTTACTGGCTTGCGCGAGCCACTGCGACGAATTTCCAGTCAGGCCGAGCTTTGAGAATTTGCGAAAGCAACTCCTTCAGCCTTCAGCAGTGTTGCAGGTGACGGAGCTTCAATCCAAGATCGTCACAAAGTTGGAGGCGTATAGGCTGGCTTCCTCTGACTGCTCGCACGTGCCCTTTAGCAGGCCGATGAGAAGGAGCGCATGGAGCCTCTGAATAGTGTCGCGCTCAAGTTGTCGGTGGACTGTGTAAACTCGCAAATTCCAACTCGCCATGAGGCCTTCAGGATGAACTGGGACCTTCCGGCAACGAATCTAGTGTGCCAGCCACGGTGGCTGAGTCGTGAGGTGATGTCATCGCCTTGTGAAGAGACGTGCTCGGCATACTTGCAAAAGCAAGTGGAAAACTGTCCGTGTAGTTGATGACGACACTGTGTGCATCGTCCGATCACTGTTCCTGTGCAATTCATCTTGCATGCTGTTTCGTTTTGGCGGCTACATGTGGGCTCAGAAAGTTTTCGCTAGCTCGAGGGGAAATGTCTCACACCAATTTTTTCTTTCATGGCTTCAGCTTGTGCGAGCCATGACGCGCTGACCGGGTACACACCTGCAGCCCACGACCTCGCGTTTCTGGACGCAAGCCACAGAGCTCCGGCCGTTCGTGGACTGCTGTACAAGGACCGCGAGAGGCAGGGCTTGTGCCGTTTTACCCGGTGCCCCCTCGGCCCCTTGGCCCTTGCCCAGCTTCGCCATGTGCCAGGCCGCAGCGAGACAATGCTCACGTGCACTGGGATGAGCAGTGCATCGCAGAGCACGACAAGGTCGGACAGAAGACTTGACAAAGCAACTCGGACTTTTGTTGATGGAAGGAGCGGGGTACTCGCCAAAAGATCGACGAGCCTGTGCCTTTGTCCTGTCTCCGCGCCTTGCGTTCGCCGAATCATGGAGCATCCTCCGCGATCGCGTTCCCGCGGCATGATGACCAAGCTGATGATAATACCACAGGACCACGCACACTCTCTGTGCGTGTGTATTTGTCTGTCCGTCCGCCCGTCGGTCTGTCTGTCGGTCTGTCTGTCTGTTTGTCTGTCCGTCCGTCCGTCCGTCCGTCCGCCCGTCGGTCTGTCTGTCTGTCTGTCTGTCTGTCTGCCTGCCTGCCTGTCTGTCTGTCTGTCTGTCTGTCTGTCTGTCTGTCTGTCTGTCTCTCTGTCTCTCTGTATATGTATATATGACATGTATACACATCATATGTGTAGTACAAACAAGTACAAACATGAATGCATGAATATGCAAACAGTATGTACGGACATGGACAGAAGCCAGAAGCCAAAGACAAGAGGGACTCGAGGGACCTGCAGTCGGACACCGGTCCATGTATCAGGCCTGACACTCCTTTCATTCGCAGCCCTGAATCTTCGAGTGACGCTTGGGACTGAGCGGCACCCTTCAGAACGCACATTGCCCTCTCGAAGGGGTTTACTCTCTTGAAATTGCTCTGAGGAGGAGGAGGAGGCTTTCGTGGGGGACTTGCGCTTGCAGAAGTGCAATCGACTCAGTGCGATAAATCGTGAGTTTCTTGAGGCACCTTCGACGTCGACCTCCTCCAAACGACATGAAGAGCTCGTCACGGCCTTGTTGCAGCGGATCGTTCCAGGGAGAAAAGTGAAACAAGAATCTGGAGATTTCTGAGGACGATGAGACGAGGAGACCTGTCGGCTGGCGATGCCTGCTTGCCTTGGCCGCCTTCTTGACCCCGACAGGATCGCCACGTCGCCAACTTCGATGGCGCGCGGAGAGCCCGGGTTGTCTCGGAGGGATTTGGCATTTTCTTGCTTTCGCCAGGCTGCGCTGGCCAATCGCCTTAACCAGTTGGTTGAGAGCGGCGAGAGGTGGCAGAGCGTGATTTTGTGTCAGCTGTAACTTTTTGAGACCGCCGGTGATCGCTGG